TGTGCAGAGCAGGGGGACGCGAGGAACAGTATTGAGAACCGCTGCCTTTGAACATTGATTTTGAAACTTGTGAATCCATTAGAATCGTTAGAAGACAGAATTGTGATTCATATATGAATAGATTTTTACGTGCACCTCTAGTTTTCTCTTCCTCTTCTCTAAAACGGCGCAGCATGGCCTCGCCCCCTTTGTTGCCATTTCCCGAGGGTGGGGTTTATTTTTTTGTAGGCATTAAACTGCCAGAATTTTAAAAGACGATGTCTCCGCTTGCATTGAAATTTCAGCTTTGTAACTTTGCAGATATTGTTTATGCTCAAACAGCAACATTACACACTAACTAACGTTAAAAAAGTGAAATCGCAATGAACCACCCCTTTAAATCATTTGAATGCATCTTTGAGCAAGAAAGTGTCCAATAAAACAAAATGACATAGAAGAGCCAAACAGGTTTGGATTTAACATTACCCATGGGAAGAATTTTACAGAAACATTAGCATTTCCTCTCGAGAGAGACTGACTGCTGCCGAACAATCAGGATCGCACACCAGAGCAGCATGATGCTCTTGCAGGTTAAAGCCAAATCCGGACAGCTGTGACTGGAAAGGCTTGCTCTCAGAACGGCTGCGCCGATAACTGCTGATGAGTGAACGCTGAAAGGAGGAAGTGCCTGTTTTACGTCAAGTTCAGGCAAAGAGAGTGATGATAGCATTCTCCAGGCCAAAACAGAGCGGGATGTTGGTTTGGTGGAGCAGTGGGAACAGCTCGGGATGCATTCCAATCGTAAGAACATTAAACCTGAATTGTGGTTCTTCACCTACCTCCTTTAGTTAGAAAATCTAATTACCTTCATTTGTCACTCTCAACTTGCTCTGCCAAAGTTTTGTGTTGCAGTTTCATTGAAAAGCATCTAAAAAGTGGTATATATTGGTATAAGGTATAAGGACGCCCACACAGCCTATCCATGAATCTTCCCAAGAGAAAATGGACCAGGAACCATTTCAGAGCTCTGACATTTGTGGTGATTTGAAGATGGTGATGAAGCTATTTGTCTGATATTCCTCAGGTCTTTTTGCAGAGGAACCCTGACGCCAGCAGGAAGATCGGGCAGTCTGGAATCCCCAACTCTTAAATTTCACGAGAGCCACGGGGATGAGCTTGTGAAACAAAAGACGACCTTTCTGTACACACTCACACCAGTGGAAATCCTTACAACATCAGCATGAAGCCCACTACCAGCTGAGAGACAGAGAGACATGGACGGCATACAAGAGCAAACCAGAGTCTAAGACGGCTATGTTTCTTATTTTTTCCATCTTTTCAAAAACAATGAAACAGATGAGGACAGAATTACATATATGGATCAGACAGCAGCCAAAGAAAGAGAAAAAGAGGAAGTCGAGAACTCAAGTGAGATCCAAGAGATGAGGCCTCATCCTAAATGGTGTACTTGACGTATCTCACAATTCTGAGAAAACAGGTCTGAATTGCGAGTTTACTGTATATCCTGCAATTCTGAATTTATAACTTGCAACTGTGAGTTTATATCTTGCAATTCTGAGAAACAAAGTCAGAATTGTGAGATGTAAACTTGCAATTGCGAGAACAAAAATCAGAATTGCGAGTTTATATAACTTGCAATTCTTACTTTATTACACACCATTGCAACTTCGTAACACACAATTGCCACTTTATATCATGCAATTCTGACTTTAACACAATTGCGACTTTAAATCTTGCAATTCTTACTTTATTACACACAATTGCCACTTTATATCATGCAATTCTGACTTTATAACACAATTGCGACTTTATATCTTGCAATTCTTACTTTATTACACACAATTGCCACTTTATATCATGCAATTCTGACTTTATAACACAATTGCGACTTTATATCTTGCAATTCTTACTTTATTACACACAATTGCCACTTTATATCATGCAATTCTGACTTTATAGCATGCAATTGCGACTATATCTCGCAACTGCGACTCTATATCAAGCAATTCTGACTTTATAACACAACTGCGACTTTATATCATGCAACTGTGACTTTATAACACGCAACTGCAACTTTATATCATGCAATTCTGACTTCATAGCACGCAATTACAACTTTATATCATGCAACTCTGACTTTATAACATGCAACTGCGATTTTATATCATGCAATTGTGACTTTATAGCATGCAACTGCGACTTTACATCATGTAATTCTGACTTTATAACACGACTATGACTTTATATCATGCAATTCTGACTTTATAGCACAACTGCGACTTTATATCATGCAACTGTGACTTTATAACACGCAACTGCAACTTTATATCATGCAATTCTGACTTTATAGCACGCAATTACAACTTTATTTCATGCAACTCTGACTTTATAACACGCAACTGTGATTTTATATTGCGATTTTATATCATGCAATTGTGACTTTATAGCATGCAACTGCGACTTTATATAATGTAATTCTGACTTTATAACAAGACTGCGACTTTATATCATGCAATTCTGACTTTATAGCACAACTGCGACTTTATATCATGCAACTGTGACTTTATAACACGCAACTGCAACTTTATATCATGCAATTCTGACTTTATAGCACAACTGCGACTTTATATCATGCAACTGTGACTTTATAACACGCAACTGCAACTTTATATCATGCAATTCTGACTTTATAGCACGCAATTACAACTTTATTTCATGCAACTCTGACTTTATAACACGCAACTGTGATTTTATATTGCGATTTTATATCATGCAATTGTGACTTTATAGCATGCAACTGCGACTTTATATCATGTAATTCTGACTTTATAACACGACTATGACTTTATATCATGCAATTCTGACTTTATAGCACGCAATTACAACTTTATTTCATGCAACTCTGACTTTATAACACGCAACTGTGATTTTATATTGCGATTTTATATCATGCAATTGTGACTTTATAGCATGCAACTGCGACTTTATATCATGTAATTCTGACTTTATAACACGACTATGACTTTATATCATGCAATTCTGACTTTATAGCACAACTGCGACTTTATATCATGCAACTCTTAGTCAATGTTTCTTGTGGCAAAAATTTCAGAATTTAGTGTTTAATTGATTCCCATCTTCTCGCGGACAATTATTATTATTCATTATTATTATTTTGTATCTTTATTGTATTGCTTCTTTAAAATTCTTGTGATTGGTTAATTTCAGCATACCGGCATACTGATAAATCTTAAAGGGATAGTTCACCAAGAAATGAAAACTCTATGCGTTTCTTCCTTCAGTTTCTGGTCCCCGTTTACTTCAATAGTATGGAAAAAAATACAATGGAAGTTGATGGGGACCAGCTACTGTTTGGTTACCAGCATTCTTCAAAATATCTCCTTCTGTGTTTGAAAGAAGAATGAAACTCATGCAGGTTTAGAACAACTTGAGGGTGAGTAAATGAAAACAGAGTTTTTTAATAGGTATATATTGATCATCACAGCAAATTTGTGTGTTCAAAGTATTACATGCAATTGTGACTATACCATGCAATTCTGACTTTATATCTCACAACTGTGACTTTATCACATGCAACTGTGACTTTATAACATGCAATTGTGACTTTATATCTGACTTTATTACACGCATTTGTGAGTTTATATCTTGCAATTCTGAGAAAACAAAGTTGGAAATGCAAGTTTATATCAGGCCATTCTGATTTAAAAAAAAGTCAGAATTGTGAGATAAACATACGCAATTACTTTTTATATATATATATATATATATATATTCTTTAAAATTCTTGTGATTGGTTAATTTCAGCATACCGGCATACTGATAAATCTTAAAGGGATAGTTCACCAAGAAATGAAAACTCTATGCGTTTCTTCCTTCAGTTTCTGGTCCCCGTTTACTTCAATAGTATGGAAAAAAATACAATGGAAGTCGATGGGGACCAGCTACTGTTTGGTTACCAGCATTCTTCAAAATATCTTCTTCTGTGTTTGAAAGAAGAATGAAACTCATGCAGGTTTAGAACAACTTGAGGGTGAGTAAATGAAAACAGAGTTTTTTAATAGGTATATATTGATCATCACAGCAAATTTGTGTGTTCAAAGTTTAACAAAACTTAAATCCAGTGCGAAGTCTGCACAGGGAAATTCCAGACTCCAAGATTTCTACTTGGAGAAGCTCATAAAAGTAAGTTTAATCTAATGATATCTGAGCTAGTAGAGTGCTGCACCAAGCACATTTAAATTAAGTCATTGTCATACTTTTAGTTGCAAATATGGCTCCTTTTTACATAAAAAAATGTACACAGAGTCATATATTTATAATTGTGTTTTATTCACAAATGTGCTCTATGGCGCTCTATGGTCCCAGCAAAGTATGTCAGATCTTAATCATCTGCTACATCCTTCACAGCAAAGCACTCAAATCAAGCCTTCAAGATGGCGATTTACGTGGTGCAAATTGTGTTCAGCGCTAGAGTTTTGAGCATGTTCGTTACATTACCTCGTTACATTTGCATAATTCCTTTAGTGCTAAAGTGTGGACTCAAAGTATGGAGCACTGCAACTGCTGAGGGTGCCATTTGAGACAAGGCCAGAGAAAGAACAGACGGATAGATGGCGTGACAGAGGAGAAAGATTAAAGCCAAAATAGACGAGCGAAAGGTAAGAAATATGAAGAGATGGACTGGATGAACGATAAGAGGAGATTTATGGAGGGATGATCTGACCTTGCGGTGCTCCTGCAGGTTGAGTGAGGATGAGCACTTCTTATTATGTGATTGTGAGAATATGTTAACATCCAGAGTGCTTCTTGGGTTGGCTTTAATGTCACGTTTAGAAGTTATTGTAATAAACAACATAACATTTGTGCACACTAATGATAATTGTAAATGAAATAACTTTATTGCAAACAAACAGGTAGGCTAAATTAGAAGTTGTGTTCAAAGTTTAACAAAACTTAAATCCAGTGCGAAGTCTGCACAGGGAAATTCCAGACTCCCAAGATTTCTATTGAAATGACTGCATTTTGCCCACTGAATTTCATCTTACATTGACAAATGTGACATTAGTTGTGATTGTGAGAATATTTTAACATCCAGAGTGCTTCTTGGGTTGGCTTTAATGTCACGTTTAGAAGTTATTGTAATAAACAACATAAAATTTGTGCACACTAATGATAATTGTAAATGAAATAACTTTATTGCAAACAAACAGCATACCAACTTCCTGCGAGCACTCCCTACACACACACACACACAGATCATACATCACATGAGCAGCAGGACACATGGCATGAGGAGCTGCTAATGGAGACGCTGCATCAGTTCCAAATAAACATCAGGAAGTCCTTACATAAATCAGTTCCTGGTTCAGCATGAAGTACAACACCAAGACGAAAGCAACTATATTTAACAGGGGTGAAAGGTCAGCTAATACGCATTTCCCATAGAAAAGGAAGTGGACACCTCAAAAACAGTTCTTATAAAACGGAGAGTTCCGGTCCTTGATTCTGATTGGTTGAGCCGCGTTCTAAGCTGTTGTAAATTACTCTACAAAGTAACATACACCTTTGTTTACGTCTGTGTGTTGCTCGCCAACCACTTTGTTGCAACCACAACGGTTTCTGAGGAACTACAATGTTTGGCGGAAGAATAAGGAATACGTATATGGAATAACCGTTTTATAAAAGCAACAAGCCCCAAGAAGCCGTGGTTTACAGTCAATTTATAACAGCTAAAGGGGCTTTAGGAACTCTGCTTCGTGTCGTACCTAACAACGCCCCTTAGCTGTTATAAATTCACTGTAAACCACGGCTTCTTGGGGCTTATTGCTTTATTAAAGCACTGGTATTTTAAAAGGCTTTAAAAGGTTATATTCTACACTTTGTAGCATTTTATTCTGTAATAAATACACTTAGTCAATGTTTCTTGTGGCAAAAATTTCAGAATTTAGTGTTTGATTCCCATCTTCTCGCGGACAATTATTATTATTCATTATTATTATTATTTTGTATCTTTATTGTATTGCTTCTTTAAAATTCTTGTGATTGGTTAATTTCAGCATACCGGCATACTGATAAATCTTAAAGGGATAGTTCACCAAGAAATGAAAACTCTATGCGTTTCTTCCTTCAGTTTCTGGTCCCCGTTTACTTCAATAGTATGGAAAAAAATACAATGGAAGTCGATGGGGACCAGCTACTGTTTGGTTACCAGCATTCTTCAAAATATCTTCTTCTGTGTTTGAAAGAAGAATGAAACTCATGCAGGTTTAGAACAACTTGAGGGTGAGTAAATGAAAACAGAGTTTTTTAATAGGTATATATTGATCATCACAGCAAATTTGTGTGTTCAAAGTTTAACAAAACTTAAATCCAGTGCGAAGTCTGCACAGGGAAATTCCAGACTCCAAGATTTCTATTGAAATGACTGCATTTCGCCCACTGAATTTCATCTTACATTGACAAATGTGACATTAGTTGTGATTGTGAGAATATTTTAACATCCAGAGTGCTTCTTGGGTTGGCTTTAATGTCACGTTTAGAAGTTATTGTAATAAACAACATAAAATTTGTGCACACTAATGATAATTGTAAATGAAATAACTTTATTGCAAACAAACAGGTAGGCTAAATTAGAAGTTGTCAAGTTGTTGGCATGCAAAGTGTATAACTTGTATACCATTTAGCTTAATTTTACATTTTCTGTCTGAAAACTTGACAGAGATTATATTTACAGCCAAGAACGAACAGAACAGAACAACGGAAAAGAGGTTTGGTTGGACTAGGGAGAGATTTGCGTTGTAATGTTTACATCAAGCTTTTATTTCAAAACAGCATCCTGTTTTCCATGTCCACTTTAAAGACTCTTATTATAGCATAACACACACAATCATTAATGTAGCTGTAAGCACTTTCACAAGCGCCGAGGCTTAATCGTTCCACAAGCTTAATCGTTTAGCTTACTGTTTGGATTAATTTGCAAATGACTGATTCACTTGCATGTGGCTAAACTGTCCAATTATAATTACTGACAATAACACTGAAAACATTCTGATATGTGCTTTCATCAGCCGATTAGGGGTCTTTGACTAATTTTCTTAGATGTCTGTGCTTCTGGCGGAGAGACAGACGCGCTGAGAGTCTGGTGAAAAGATGAGTGTAGAGAGAGAGGGAGCGCTTAGCGTTTATCTGACAGACAGAGGGGATGAAGAGCGGCTCAGAAATGAAGATGTTAAACAGCCGCTGATTAGACTCTCATTACAGACGGGTAATTTCGCACTCACCTCAGTCTCTCTCTCGCATGTGTATGTGTGTGAGACAAACCTATGTGGACGTTGCCTTTGTGTTTCTTCAGGGCGTCTTTACTCCTGAATCTTTTCCCACAGCTCTCAAACTTACAGATGAACCGACCGTCTCCTTTACACACCTCTTTGTGTTGCTCAAAACTGTGCATAAAAACACTCCATTTTAGTTGCTCTCTTCTGAAATGTGGCATATTTCTGAGTCAAACGGGATATTCAGGGGATCATGAAAACGGGGAATGCATATGAGAATGTAAACGATTAAATATTGATGTACCTGGACTCTGAACAGAAGGTGCTGTGACACAGGACACACTGATGGGCTTTTGAAGGGTCTCCTGATGAAGCGGAGCTCTCTGTACAGAGAAGAACACTGCAAATCAACAGGACATCAGCATTAATACATGAGACAATGTGAAAGTGTGTGTGTGTGTGTGTGTGTGTGTGTGTGTGCTACTGACTGGCGCTGCAGGGCCTGTTTGACAGGAAACTCTTTTCCGCAGGTGCGACATTTGAACTCTTTGTCCTCTGCACTTCCTCTCTGATGAAGGCTCTGAAGATGTTCAACTAACACTTCTTCACTGGGGAAGCTGCTCTCACACAGCAGACACAGGTAATCTTCCTTCTTAATCACCAGCTCTACACACACACACACACACACAGTTAAACGTACTTTATGAATCAGTGCTCAGCTGATACGAGTTTTGCATTGGCTGATATAATGCTGCCATATTTATCATAAAACATAATAAGTTGTGTGAATCAGTAGAGAAATCTGCACAGATCAAGCAGCGATTACAAACGAAAACAGTCCAAAACAAATATGTTGGTGGATTTTGATAAGAGAGGGCAACGGAAGATGGACTTTTTATTATGCTATTATGGACTCATATTTTGGCCAGAAGTGATGATTTCAAGTTAAAAAACATCTTAATGATGGGTTTGTTTTTTACAAACATGCAGCTTTTGTCTTCACAAGACATTAACTGATGGACTGGAGTGGTGTGGATTATTGTGATGTTTTTATCAGCTGTTTGGACTCTCATTCTGACGGCACCCATTCACTGCAGAGGAGCCATTGCTGAGACACTGATGCAATGCTACATTTCTCCAAATCTGATGAAGAAACAAACTCATCTACATCTTGGATGGCCTGAGGGTGAGCACATTTTCAGGAAACCTTCATTTTTTGGTGAACTACACCTAAGTGCCTGATAATCGATATGCAGAACTGATTTTGAATTATTGTTTTACTGCTGCTTTTCAACACAATAATGACTACATGGCTATTAGACTACAATAAAAACATGAACCATGTATTTATTCATAACGAGTATTATTGTTATTTATGTCATTATATTTATGCCAAATTGTTGTGATCTAGATGGCTAGCTGTAGACCCAATCACACATTTCTGTGTAAATTGCTCATAAAACCATTCATTCATTATCCATTTCAGAAAGACACTAAACACACATACCTGTTTCTGCACTGAGGTGTTTGCTCTCTGTACTGTTCCCATCTTCATCTTTGATGTCCTGATCTTCCTCAAGGTCCTCCTCTTCCTCCTCCATATCGCTGTCCAGGTAGCCAATCAGAAGCTCTGTATCTGTCTCGATGTCATCAACAGCCAGATAGAAGATATTCTCTCCATCCTGTTTAAAGAGACAGTGTCGGCTACTTCATTCACATTCAACTGATCAAAAGTGACAGTAAAGACTTTGTTAGAAGAAATTTCTGTTGTACCAAAGAAAATAAATGCAAAAAAAGAGTTTGCATGTTATAAACTTGAGTCAAAGCAGTCAGCATTGGTTCATTTTCAACATATTATCAGTTCCCATGCTGATACTGGTAAAATATTGCATAGCTGGAAAGACTCTCAGCCAATAAGAGAACCAGAAGTAACTGTTGTGTCTGTGTTTGTGTCTTATTACAAAAGACATAAACTGAATTAGACGTAGAAAAGCAAAGATCCAGGTGTCGTCTGACACTAAACAGACAACACAACAGAGATCTGCTGGGAGGCGCAATCAAACATTCACACGAGGGGAAGCGTAAGATCAGCAGTGCTTCCTGATTAAGGTCAAAGGCCAAACACTTGAACCTCTGTTTAATGGCTTTGTCAGACTTTCATTTCCTAAAAGGTCATGCAGAAATAAGCACAGTTGCTGTACATTATGTTAAAATCACAGCCCCAGATTTATCCATCAGGAGATGGTGAGAGAAGTGTCATGTGTGAGGAAACACAGACTCTCTTCTCTTGATTCTGCTGTAATGGCCATCAGATCGCCAACATCTCAAACTCACCAGAGACCCGTTCACTGCCAAGATTGAGCAAACGAGTCTGCTTCCATCCACGTGAAAGCATTCATAATAAAAAATATAAATGTACCATTCAATTTTAATAATTAATCACTTATAGTATAGTATTATAGTAGTATAGTATTATTTTATTTTATTGAAAAAAGACAATGTTACTGATAAAAAAAAATCTTGATATTATGGGAACACATAGGACTTCACTAAATCACATTTTAACCACAAAATCACAATTTCAGCTAATCTAGATGAATTAAGCATAATCAAACAGTATTTTGGAGTTTAGCCATCTTTACTGAGATATTCTTTGCAAATGACTGTAAAAAATGACTGCAATCTTAACAGTAAATGACTGTAAAAATCTACTGCAAAAACATGTTAATTGGTTAATATCAAAGTGCTCCTATTATGCCTTTTCGAATATTACCTTTCATGCAGTGTGCCATGTAGCTGTATGTGAACATAAACTATCTGCAAAGTTGTGAAGCCGACAGTGCACGATAAATAAAGTTATTGTCTATCAAAAAAAAAAAAGAGTCGGCTCGCAACCGCCTAAACGAGTCGTCAGGAATTCAAATCTTATTCTGTTACGGCTCTACGTCACGAAGTAACACATTTGCATAATGTCCGCCCACGTTCTACATCGCCAACTTGCCCGCCCACAAACAGTAAAATATCCGTGTGGTTGACATGTCGAGAAGACGCTGTATTCTACGCTGTGAGAGTAAATTTGTTTTATCACATCTTATAATTACCACAAACTTGTTAACACTTGACACTTACCACTGAGAAACGTCCTGCTCCAGTCGTGCTTGCGAATCAGTCTCTAGCAAGCGGCAACCTTCCGGTCTCTCTCGTGAAACCAACACGGAAGTGACTAAAACTGCAATTCATCGACTGGCCGCTAGAGGCTGGCTCCAAAAGGGAGTCAGTCCCATAGACCTCCCATGTTAAAATGCCCAACTTTACAGCAGAAAAAAATATGTTTGCAGCCTGGTACAAAAAGTGGTTTTGGTGAACTCATCCGTTTAAATTATAATAAGTCTTAAAGTTCTGCATAATTAAGGGTGTGGCCACTTGAGTGACAGGTGGATTGCCGCTGCGGTCACCACCGTCGAGCTAGGTGGGCGTGGTTTCAGCAACCAGCTCCCGCCTCTTTGCCCATTTTTGATTATCCAGGAGTGACGTGCGGTGACGCGCAGCCAAAATGGCGACGGCCGGCTCCGCTCACTTTGAGCTTCAAAAGCGCTCTTCAGAAACCTACGGGTGACGTCACGGACACTGCGTCCATGGTTTTATACAGTCTATGGTCTCTTGTCTTGTCTATGTTCTCAAGTCCAGAAACGTAGCAAGGAGATCGGTAAAATAATCCATGTGACATCAGGGGTTCAACCATAATTTTACGAAGCTACGAGAATACTTTGTGCGCAAAAGAAAAAAAAATAACGACTTTATTCAACAATTTGTCTCCTCCGCATCACCCTGGTGCCATTTTGGAGAGTATCCACTGAACGTAAACAGCGTATGCTGTTCTGTGTCAGCTGCGTCACGCGGATACGCTGTTTCCGTTCAGATCAAATCACAACAACGTAGGAAACAGATCCGGCGTGACGCAGCTGACACAGAACTGCATACGAACGTTTACGTCCAGCGGATATTCTCCAAAATGGCGCTACAGAGTGACGCGGAGGAGATGAATTGTTGAATAAAGTCGTTATTTTTTTTTCTTTTTCCCACAAAAAGTATTCTCGTAGCTTCGTAAAATTACGGTTGAACCACTGATGTCACATGGACTATTTTACAGATCTCCTTGCTATGTTTCTGGACTTGGGAACATTTCAGTTGCATTGCTGTCTATGCAGGGTCAGACAGCTCTCAGATTCCATCAAAAATATCTTAAATTGTGTTCCGAAGATGAACGAAGGTCTTATGGGTTTGGAACGACATGAGGGTGAGTAATTAATGACAGAATTTTCATTTTTGGGTGAACTATCCCTTTAAAAATGGCATAATAGGGGCACTTTAAGTTCCCTTACTATATACAGGGGACAGATGTAACATATCACTGGAATTAAATTTTTTTTTTTTTTTTTTAAGAAAAATACTGTAAAATTACTTTTTATTTAATGAAAAACAATAAGTCTTATTTTAGTGTCATGTTTGTCACAACAAGGTAATTTATGTGTATGACACCAGATATACTGTAAATTTAATTTCAATCTGTAAACAAAAAAAAAAGGTTGCTACCATTTTTTTATGTATGTATGTATTTATTTATTTGTTTGTTTTATTTATTTTTACAGTAAAGATCTGACTGCTGAATCTTTATCCAAAAAATTCAAAAAAAATTCTTACATTGTTTTGAAATGACTGGAATTAATTGGAAATATTAAATATCGATTGCAATTATTTTAAATAAAATTAGGTATTTCACTTTCTTAGCTTTTGATTTAGCTTTAGAAGATTCGTTATACCAGTTTCCATAAGGTAGAGAGCATGTCAATGTATATGATAAATATAATAAATCAGTAAACGAGATGAGCTCAAATAAATAATGCATTTAAGTTGATATTCTCTTGATTGGTGCTTACATGAAATTATGAAGAAATATCTTAAATGACAACAATTTTGATTAATTTTATTATCTATTATCGTGCAACCCTAGGAACAGGTCTACCATACAGAATCATACTACACATTTACATTATATTTTTGTTGCGATTGATTCTACAGTGAACCCTCCAGCGAGTTATTGCATGTTAAGCACAAAGATTTGTTATGTTTTTACATGTTGAGATCATGAGGGTCTACAGGTGCATTAACACTGACTGTGATTAGGGCACTGGAGGTTGCCAGATCACTGCACCATTGGTTACTACTCAACTGCCATATCCAGCTCATGTGACCTCAAATGTGTACGCCCACGTGTGTGTGTGTGTGTGTTATTGATCTAAGGCTCATTACACTCCTCTTATCTCCACACTCTTTGGTGTTTTCAGATCTCTGGCACTGCGAAAGCACATCAACACTGCCAGACATAACAAACAACTCATTCCATCTCATTCCCTCCGCTGTCTGCTTCTGTTTCTGTTTCTGAGCCTTATGCAAAGCTGCTGTCACACTCTGTGGCTCTGTACCCAAACCTAATGAGTGGCCTACGTAGGCAGCACTTAAGGAATCATAGGTGTACCCTATATGTGAAAGCTGTTGCAAAACCACAAAAATTTTAACCTAATTGTAACAAAAACTAAGGCTGCATCACACATGTTCTGAAGGCAAACCCACAAAGCACTGTGACAATCTTAGTGGAAAAAATCCATCAAAAATATCAGAAGTGAGACAAAATAAAAAATTAAAGGAATAGTTTTCCCAAATATTAAATGTTGCTGTAAATTTAGTCAACCTCAGTCCATACAAGATGTAGATGAGTTTGTTTCTTCATCAGATTTGGAGAAATGTAGCATTGCATCACTTGCAGTGAATGGGTGCCGTCAGAATGAGAGTCTGATAAATATACACCACAATAATCCAAAAGTAATCCACACGACTCCAGTCCATCAATTAACATCTTGTGGAGCTGTGTGTTTGTAAGAAACAAACCCATCATTAAGACGTTTTTAACTTTAAACCGTCACTTCTGGCCAAAATACAGATCCATAATCCAAAAAAAACACTTCCTCCTGTTGCCCCTCACATCAAAATCCACTCACATACTTGTTTAGAGCTGTTTAAAGTTAAACCATCTTACTAATGACTCTTTCTTACACGCAGGTTTACACTTCATAAGACATTAACTAATGGACTGGAGTGGTGTGGATTACTTGTGGATTATTGTGATGTTTTTATCAGCTGTTTGGACTCTCATTCTTACGGCACCCATTCACTGCAGAGCATCCTTTGGTGAGCAAGTGATGCAATGCTACATTTCTCCAAATCTGATGAAGAAACAAACTCATCTACATCTTGGGTGGCCCGAGGGTGAATACATTTTTACTACATTTTCATTTTTGGGTGAACTAATACAAAAAAATTTCAAAACCAACTTTTTTTGTTTTGTTTTTACTTTCAAACTAAGCAGCTTTCTGTTGATCAGTTCAGCAAACTTGTAGCAAAATATGTGTGTGGAAAGCTTTTACTCTCACGTGTAAATGTGACCACACTTTTAGAGTTTTGCAGTGTTAGCTTAGCAACATGCTAACCCCAAACTCAATACCAGGTAAGCCTTACTTACACGTCATGTAGGTTGATGCACAGATTTTTGTCTATACAGTGTTCCGAATCAGCCACTAAAATAAAGCTCTATAGAAGGCAGCTGTCTATGTAAGTCAGTGCAGCAACAGTGTGCATGTGAGAGAGTGTAAAGAGATCTCTGTGGTTATCAGGCTGTGGCATCTTCTCATACCTGAATGGTGGCCAGGTTCTTCTGCTCCTGTGAAGGGGCCTGATGAATGAAGCGAAGCCAGTTAGCATGGCGAGGGTTACTAGCGTCCAGGATATAAAGCACGTCCCCTTTATTCCCTCGAACCTGCAGAAGCACACAGATTCACAAGTCACAATCCAGCCAATCAGAATCAAAGTGGCAATGCTGCTCCTCAAAGCATGCTTCTCAACAGCCTCTAAACACTCACTGAAAGCACAGTGTCCAATTAACAATCCAAAGCTTTATCCACTCGAGATGCTTTCATGAATTGCATAGCGTCCAAGTGGGACCCAAAATACTTAAAATACTTATTAGAGATGCACAATCAGTGTTGGGGGGAATGCATTACAAGTAACGTGAGCTGCGTAATCAGATTGCTTTTTTCAAGTAACTAGTAAAGTAACGCATTACATTTATAAGTTACAAGAAAATTTCTGAGTTGCGTTGTCAAATGAATAACACCAGGTACTTTGTTTTCTCATGTATTGACTGACAGCTCTTCTGTCCTCATGTTGAGAGAAATCAGGAGTAAGTGCAGAGGCGCTGTGTGAACGTGATGTTACTGTAGTTCTATAGACTAAATGTGAACATGCATTTATTCAGCTCACTTGCACAAAAACAGATCCAGTATTCCTCAAAAGGAATAAAAACAGTGAATTGCAAACTCAAAATATGATGAAAACCTGCAATAATTAAATGTCAAGTGACACAAACATCCTTTACGTATCCCATTTTATTAACCAATGTGTTTGCTGCTGAACTTCGTTGATCCAGTTGAACCATACTAATAAGCAAAAATGACTTTATATATTAATGATTGACAATACAGTGGTGACCAAAATTGGTAGAATTGTTGTCATTTCATAATGTTCATGAAACATGCAGATGGTTGCTCTGAGCACAACAAATATCAGTCATACGTTTTTTTATCCACTTTTAACTTAAATATTTTGTGCGTCCACCTTTTGCAGCAATTACAGCAGCACATCTCTCTGGCATAGAGTCAATATATTTCCTGAGAACTTCAACACTAATGTTATCCCATGCCTTCTGCAACTCAAGCCAAAGGCTTTCCTTTAAAGGGGTCATATGATGCGATTTCAATTTTTCCTTTCTCTTTGGAGTGTTACAAGCTGATTGTGCATAGATAAGATCCCTGAAGTTGCAAAGATTAAAGTCTCAAAACCAAAGAGATACTCTTTATCAAAGTTAAGACTCTGCCACGCCCCCCTAAAACGGCTCGTTCTAACACGCCCCCACATATCTACCTCACTATGTGGAAATATTAGCATAATGCGGCCACACAACACGTTTTTCCAATCCACTGCACTATTTTCCATTGTTTTTCAATGTAAACATGCACTAGACGGATGTGTTCGACCACTGTGTCTTTAACAGCGCCTCGCACATGACGCATCGTTGCATGTACCTCAAGTTATAAGAAATGTAACTTCTGTCAGGACCACTATCGTCAAAATGATAGATAAAGTTTGGTTTGGCGGTATGGTTCTGTTCTGGGCAAAAACCTCCCTGCCCATCCATGCAGCCTGTCATGAATGAGCAGGGAGAGCAGCAATAATAACCCCCCTAGGGTTAACAGAACAGAACAAGGCAGATATCATTAATGTACTTGATATTTAAGTGTAACACTTTATTCAAGATAAAGGAGTCTGATTAGCAAGGAATATCAGAAAGCCAAGTCCTGACTGTGGCGAAAGGAGGAGCTGGGGATGGAGGAGGGTAATTTGCTCCTGAGCAAGCTGAAAAGGTCTTCCTATAGGTAGATGTGATCAGCTGAGAATCAGCTGATGCAAGTTTGACTCACGTGACCTGCCAGAACTAACGCTAATGCTTAATTTTTGCAAACCATGTCTTGAGACCTTGCAATCTTTATAAAATCTGAAAATTAATTTCCTTTTTTCATACAGCACATTATAATGTCATGATGCTTAAATTCACTTCACATTTTGTGTTTAGTATTTTATTTTTAATTGATTTAGACAGAAATTTTATACATTTTAATCTGCCATAACATGACATGATCAGAATTTTAATAATGGATCCCTACTTATTATGCAAGTATAATGGCATTCTTTATTGATAAAACAAGACTGACAAGTATATCCAATGACAATGCATTTCCATAAACCTACACAGCAGTTATCAAGCACTATTTTACTAACAAATTTGCGTACACAACAGTATTACTTTGAGAGAACCAGTTACAAGTACAACCTACAGACGTCCCTCGAAAAAAATAAATATACTAAATAAAATGTATTTTAAATAGTGTTTGAATTTACTACAAATACATTTACATATTTATGTACTTATTAAAAATACCCTATGATTCTACTTTTAGTATACTAAAATTGGAACAACTATTTTTGTATTTAATGCACTTTGATTGTGCTGAAGTCCAACTAAAGATATACTGAAGTATTTGATTGTGCTAAAGTAGAAACTTTTGCAAGTATACTTCAGGTACACTTTAAATATCTTGCATTTAAAGACTGATATTATTCAAAGATCATACAATCCACGTCAATGGTGATATTTAGGCTTAATGTTAAGAAATGTGCATTGTGCACAAGTATAGTACTCCAAATAACGTTGCATTACAATTGTTATATCCGTAAGTCTGGAGCAATATGTCACTAAATATGTTACATATACTTTTAAATGTATTTTAAATATATTACTTTTATTTACTAGGGGTGTAATCAGACATTCATCATTGTAAGCGCACAGATGGTAGATGCTGGTGTCTGAAATTCCAGTCTTGAATCAGGAAAATTGCTCACTTCCCACAGGAATGCTCTTTTCCCAAATCTGACGAGTACCTTGGTCCCACTGTTTTTGGATACAAATTATTATTTTGAGATATTTCTTATTCTTAACTTACTGAAACGCCAACTAATAGCGACTTATTCTGACTAATCTTGAAAGGTAATTTCCCTGAAATTGCCTGCATCACAACACACAAGCAGAATGAAAGAGCGGCACAGTCAAAGAGTGCATACTAAGATGATCTATCATAATAATTATATGCCCAAGTGTGTAATTTGGGAGAACTTAAGCTCACTATACTTTGTGCAGAATAGTGTCATCAGGGCAGGCAGATCAATAAATCACAAGTCTAATGTGGCTGAACCCGACCTGGTCTGCGTTATAATTAAAACTTTAATGCAGCCGAAAATAAACACAAATCTTTAGTTTCAAGCGCAGATATTTGATGGGATATTAGATACGGCATGCACTGGGAGACGTGTCTGGCATGGGAGAGTCAGCGTGAGTTGAGTTCATGCTGGCACGTCTCGTCCAATTAACGGTTGCCTGGAGATGAGCAGTGATGCGTCTGTCTCAACAAGAGGGGCAACAACTTCTCCAAGACAGTTAAAATTCAGTCAGACCTCAAAGATCGCAGTCAGAGAGATCCAAACGCAAACAAATCTAAAAACGGTATTAGTGGTCTTTGCAAAGACAAACATGACTATTAGTGTTAATATTATCTGAGCAAACCTCTAACCCAAAGTATTAAACTTTGGTGTAACTCATCCCACACTGTTTGTGCTACACACATGAATGAAACCACAAGTCATGTGACTTGTTGAGAGGTGTTTTTGTCTGGTGAACAATAAAACAGGCAAAAAGTCCAACAGACTTGCAATGAATGAGAGAATTAAAGGGGTCATATGATGCGATTTCAATTTTTCCTTTCTCTTTGGAGTGTTACAAGCTCTTGGTGCATAAAGAAGATCTGTAAAGTTGCAAAGACTAAAGATGTGGAAAATAATGTTTTTTTTAACCTTAAACCGCATAAACACATTTAATTGCACCAAATACACAAAATCATGTTTTTTTTAGCAGCATCATATGACCCCTTTAAGCCATGTCACTATTTACTATAATTTAATTAAGTGCAAAATGAATGTAATATTTCAGACACTCAGTTGCATATTACATGCAAAATACTGAAAAAAAATATCACAGCTTAAATTTATATTAAATGCAATTAGTTGAACTCTAAAGTGTTTTTTGACCCACTTAATTAGGACTTCATATGGTTAAAGTGTACAGTACTGACAAATTTACTGACAAGTATTTATGGTAAACTGAATTGTAATTGTAATGTTGTTTCTATTAAAACTTGTATGTCATGTTCATTTCAAATGTATTAACTGAATAAAACACTGCAGTTGTAATTATTTAACATGCTTTAGTATGTTAATCAACTCATCAAAATAAGTGTACTTCTTTAAAACATGACAAAAATGATTAAAACAACAAAGACATGTTCTGTGAATGGCCAGTAAGAACCTAGAGTAAATATGCATATAGAGTGACAGGACAAGATCACGGAGATGCTGCCCTGCTCTTTCTCTTAATCAACAGTGTTCAATTTACATTCATTAGTTTATTAAAACATTTGTTTACAGGAGATGCAAGTTATTTTCTACTTTTCACATTTCATGATTTAAAATAATATTCATTTACAGTAGATACAAGTTATTTTCTACTTTTCGCATGACAGTATAAAATGTATTTTGTTTGCAAGAGATGATGGTTATTTTCTACTTTTGACACAATATTCATTTATTTTGTTTGCAAAAAAAATGAAAGTAATTTAAATTTTTTTTAGAAAGCTTGCATTTTACAATTAAACTGAAATGTGACTTTTTTTTCATAAGACGTCTTTATTTCAAGCAATCTTTGATTTCAATTGTTCAAAATATTCAGCAAATAACCATAAATAGTTTGTTTCCTTCAATTATTTCAAAATCACAAAGATAAGAAATGCACTCTTTCTTTAGAAAAAAAAATCCCACCTTTAATAGTTGAGTAGCTATATTTATAGTACAAACCGTTAATGAACTATGAGGGCAAAAAAATAAAAAATAATAATATATATATATATATATATATAAAAATCGTTCAATAATCGTAATCGAGGTATAAAGTGTTCAATTAATCAAGGTTTTGGTTTTAGGCCATATCGCCCAGCCCTATGATGAACAGATTGAATTTAGGCTTTTATCCACATATCATTGGTTCTTGCGTAAGCTCAAAAGTGCTGCGTAACTCACGAAATTGAACCTCATTGGTTCTCACATGTCAAGCAAGCATGCTTAGTTTGCCACAATTGACTTGTCCATTGATTAATGTGAATAAAGGCCTAAATTAAATCTGTTCATCATATTAAGCAATCGAGTCTCTTCTAGTGGTTGAACGGATCGTAGTTGATCCGTGATCCGTACAGACCAAGCACCACAGTTTCGGCACGCATGTGATCCGCAGATTAATTGCAAAATTTAACCACAATAGAGTGAAAGTTTATCAATTGTATGTTTACACACGCAAGCGATTTTAAACCATTCTAGCAAAAGAAAAGGCAAAAGGGAACTCGATTCGTTACTCGCACGTTGTTTTCTATGTGCGCAGAAGCACATACATGAAGCGCGGTACACCGAACTGAACCCTCTTTCATATCTCCTTCACTCCTTGCCATTGAACACATGCATATACAGGTGCATCTCAATAAATTAGAATGTCGTGGAAAAGTTCATTTATTTCAGTAATTCAACTCAAATTGTGTAACTCGTGTATTAAATAAAAAGTATGACAAAATACTGATCTCGACAATCATTGTGGTAAATGCTGTTCAGTCTGTTGTGTCTTAAGTGAATGAGAACAGCAGAGAAAGAAATCGGATGTGTATCATTATATTGGATCCGTGCATCAGGTCTTAAAGGGGCAGCAGCCTAATAACACCTGGTGCTGTCATTATGCTCATCAAACAACAAAACATGTTTTTGACAAAGATGAATCTATATTTAATTTATACTGTGAACACTATGCAGTGTTATTTTGCACTTAATTATTACATTTCTGTACCTGAATACTACCGACCTTATTTTATTTGTAACGTTGTTCTGTTGTATTTATCTATGCTTGTAATTTGTGTATTTGTTCCTATTTCTACTGGCTGTTCACTTGTCTCCTTAATAATGTTTGAACTTTCTTAGGCTAAGAGTTTTTGCTGTGGTATAGAAGAACTACTTAGCTTTGAGTAATGGAAAGCAAAGTTACATTGATTTTTTTTCTTGCTGATCCAAAAATGTATCCGATCCGTGGCTCAAAAACCGTAATATGATCCAAACAGTGAGATTTGTGATCCATTGAACCACTAGTCTCTTCAAAAAATGTGGACTATTACCACTAATCATACGCATTAGTTTTACAAACTCTTTTTGAACTTTTTGAAGCGTCAAAGTGGTAGTTGCATAGACTGTCAATGGAGGGACAGACAAGGGTAAAAGAACAACAACAACAACAAAATCAGAGACAGAAACCTATAGCTAATACCTAGAAAACTATAAATCAACACATTATAAAGCACTCAGGACACCTTGGCAATTAAATATGAACAATCCCAGCAGTCTAGCGTGGTCACGGTGAGTTTGTATGGGCAACCACTCTCATTCTCACTCTCAGAAAAACATAAATGTTGTACATTCATAAAATAGGCCAGATATAAACTAGCATCTAGCATTTCGAAAGGGTTGATAAGATATGAGTTGCCTTTGAAGTGACACAAAAACAAAAAACGTATAGCAATGCATTGTGGGTAAAGCGATGGAAAGATTGTTGAGTCTAGTCACCCACCTCCCACATCAGTCGTGGATCCATGCTTTCATCCAAGTCACTCAGCATCCGCTTTTCACCTGCGAACGGACCAAACTTCTCACCCTGTGAAGAAAGAGCGAGTGTGTGTGTGTGTGTGTGTGTGTGTGTGTGTGTGACTGGGCTTTGATGTCACATCCAGCAGTTTCTGTGTGCTATCTGAACATGATCAAGGAACGGCTCTGTGGGATCTCTAAGCGTCTATGGGTTGATTCTCCACTCATAGAGCTTATTCTGAGATGTACACCTTTAGAGAGATGTCAAGTCGACTCAGACACGTTCAGAATACAGTTTCAAAACATGCGATATATGTTAAAAATGGTCTGAAATCTGCAGATGACATTTCCTTAGGCTTGTGTATGCTTCAGGTGACTTGATCTAATTAAGATGCGACCAATTGAAAACTCAAGACAAGCAAAGAAAGTGAAACAGGAGATACCAGGTTGAATCTTATTAAGAAATAAAGTGATTATATATACACTGTAAAAAAAATGTTTTTCAAAATTTTAAATTAAAAAAATTATTATTATTGAAGTATGTTTCACAAGATAATGCTATTTCAGTCTTTCTACTTAAAAAATGGCAGATTTAATTTATTTCTTTGTAACTAATTGTGAAATTTACTAACAACTTCTGAATGATTGATTTGCTTTTTTTTCATATTTTATACATTCCCATACATTATTGAATGTGCAATTTAGTGTAAATCTTAAAAGCATATTGAAAAAAAAGAGCAATGTACTTGTACTAATTGTACTCGTAAATCACACTAACATAATATTGATTAAATTAAATGCCACTCAAGTGTACTTAAAGGAAGTACACTTTCATGACTACATTTCTTACACTTAAGTACACTTTTAAAAAGTTTTAGGCCTACTTTAAAGTACAATTTAAATCATTATCCCCCAGTTTCACAGACAAGGCTTAATCCTAGTCCTAGACTAAAATGCAAGTCTGAGCTGTTTCAACTGAAAGATACTTGCACTGACACACTTAAGTACACTTTTAAAAAGTTTTAGGCCTACTTTAAAGTACAATTTAAATCATTATCCCCCAGTTTCACAGACAAGGCTTAATCCTAGTCCTAGACTAAAATGCAAGTCTGAGCTGTTTCAACTGAAAGATACTTGCACTGATTGATCTTAAAACATGTCAGTGCCTTTGTTTTGTCTCAAAATGCACACCAGTAAAGATTTTTTTCTAAGGCACGTTTATAAAACTTACATTACATTTACATTTAGTCATTTAGCAGACGCTTTTATCCAAAG